TTCAGAGTTATCAAGTACAAATTGATTTTCTATATTTGATTGCAACGTTTATTTATTACCTTGTAAAAAATTTAATATTCTTTAATTAGTATATTGATTTTCTATATTTGATTGCAATATTTCTCAATTACTTATATGAGAAATTTAATCATTATTCAATAAAGTTACAAATTAAAGAGGGTTGAGGTTTGAATTTGGATATAAATGATCTTTGTTTTGATTGTTAAGTCTAAGACTTTATTGTTTTGTTAGGGTAAAAAAGTGCCCTTGGTTACTTTAGAGTTTAGACACGAAATGTCTCATTTTTATTAGTAAAATTTGATACAAATAAAAATTACACAATTGAAGGTGAGATTTATGAAATTAAATTATTATATATTAAAATTTTATATGGATTTTGATTTTTTTTTAATTTTATATTGTATACATGCTAGGCATGACCACAATTCTACTTATAAGAAAAGTGGAATCAAATAGTATTACCACATTTTATATATACCTTGTAAACTATATAATATAATTTCTTATTTTATCAAAAGAATCTAGATTTAAATAGGAAATTAATATAACCAATCAAAATGAAATGACCTTTCTTCTTTCTACTAATCAAATTAAAATCCTAAATGATTTTATCAATCCATAAACTTAGAAGGGGTGTTTTTGGCTAGGAGTGGACAAACCTTGATAATTACCGATTAACCGTACCGAACCAAGGTTATTCGGTAAAATGATTCGGTAAATGATAAACGGTCGATAAATTGCTCAGAGAAAATTTAATAAATGGTAAATGGTTCGGTAAAGTATTCAAAAAATTTAAATTCTCGATTTACCGATTTACTCAAAACGTGCGTCGTTTTCTTTTTTTTTATTTAAAAAAAGTTAATTCTTATACGGTAAATTGATTACTTTGGTAAACGGTAAATTGGAATTCGATAAATAGTTAAATCGATCGATAAACTGTAAATAATCAATCAGTAAATCGGTAAATGTAAATTCGGTAAACAGTTAACCAAATCGACTGAATGTCCACCCCTATTTTTGACACTCTCAACATCCCTCCACACATTCCCCTTCATATATATATATAATTCCCCTTCAATATATATATATATATATATATATATATATATAATTAGATTATAAAAAATTATTTATTGCAAGGAAAAAAATAAGGGTCTTAGAATTTGTTATTGCTTATCAACTTTGCAGAATAAAGGGTGTACTAATTTTCTCTGGATAGGTTTGCTCATAAAGAAATAATATATTAGATTTATAAAAATTATTTATTGCAAGGAAAAAAATAGGGTCTTAGATTTGTTATTGCTTATCACTTTGCAGAATAAAGGGTGTTACTATTTTCTGGATAGTTTGCTACATAAAGAAATAACATGTTGTTTAAGGTAAATATATGGACAATTAATTGATATAGTTTATTCTTTACTCTAAGTTACCAAGTATATGTTGATTTTTTTATATTTAATTACAACGTTTATCTACTACCTTGTAAGAAATTTAATGTTCTTCAATCAATATGTTGGTTTTCTAAATTTGGTTGTAATATTTCTCAATTACTTATGTGAGAAAAATAGAATTCTTCAATGAGGTTACAAATTAAAGAGGAGTGAGGGTGAGGATTAAAACCGAATGTAAATGATCTTTATTTTGGTTGTTAGGTCATGACTTCATCGACTTGTTAGGATATAAAAAAAAAATGCCCTCGGTAATTTTAGAGACAAAAGGTCTAATTTGATTAGTAAAATTAGTCGAAACATCGCTTCGCGCCCGGCTATTTAAATATTATTTTATTAATTATTATATTGCTTTGTTATAAACTATTATGAATTACCAAATTGTCAAGGAGAAGAATCAAAATCGTACTTGAAATAATTAATAATGGCAAATGACCATGGTTAAAATGGAACTCGAAAATTTTCATTATTTCAAATATTTAACATATTTTGCTAATAGTATAAATTTCTACTTCAATTTCTACGTAGTATATTAAAATTAAATTATTAAAAAATACAATCTGAGGATAATTATTCAATTCAAATATTTAGATAAATGAAGGAATAAATTTTAATAGATATAAGATGTAGATAGATTTGTAGTTAGATATTAACGCTAAAAAAAAAGAAATTACTAATTATCTAATTATTTTATATTAATATTAAATAAATTTCAAATAACTTAATTAAAAATATATAAATAATTCAAAAGAAAGGTTGGCAAAGGAGTCTACACCTTGCAAATATGTTATGTATGAAAAAGATACTTCAACTACGCACAAACATGGTAATTTCCAAAAAAATATAGAGCAATTATAAGGTTGTTTGACAACCTCTATCATTCGATGCAATATATAATTTTTGTAATTCAAGAATAATTCAATCAGACGAGACAACTTATATGCACAAATTTTACATGTGGATAAAATTTAGAAGTAGCTTCCTCAAGTACTATTTATTTCAATTAGAAAGAGGTGTGTGCGAGTTGTTTATTTTAAGAATAGACTGGATTGATCTAACTGCGGTTTTTTTCGTTTTAACTAGGAAAAACAAGGTGCATGATCCTACCAATTATTTATGAATAAATTAAGAAATCATCTTTAAGAACCATAGCAATTCATGATTCATGGGTAAATATACTTTGATTCTCTATGAACCAATAACGTGGGACCATTAACATGGTTAAAGCTAAACGCAGCAAGGTACTCTTTACTCTGTCAAAGATGTTTTGTATAAATTTTTTTTTTGTTAGCAAAGAAAGCTTTATTATTATTAGTACAAAAGGATTCAATGGGTAGGAAAAGAACTCCACAACACCAGGTAGCATCTACACGCAAGCCAATAGGCTTTCCCCTTTACACCCACAAATCCTATCCTGGGGATGCATATTAAAAAACCAACTTTAGTGTAAAATTGAAAAATACAGTAGACCACCAAAACAAAGAAAGCTTTTGGCATTCAATTTATATTACCTAATGGTAAAAGCAACAACTATTAGGATAACCCTCATGAAGAAGTTGGACAAATTCACCCTCTGATTTAAAATGAACAACCTTTGATGGCCCAAGGTCTTTTGGATACCCAATGTAATACCCTGCATTTCATATTAGACAGACCATGAAATAAGAATGCGCTTTCAGTGCTTGAAATGCATTACATGGATAAATAAAAATGCATTACATAGATAAAGAAGGTGAGATCAGCTGCCGTCATGAAGATATTTTATGCAAACAATTTGCATAAGCAAAAAATGAAAGGTAAAATAGCAATTATTTGCAAGTGCTGCGTAGGTGGCCGATCATTTTATCAAAAAAAATTTTGCTCCTCCATTTGATTTACGAATGCAACAAATCCACCTTTATTTGTTTCACGAATGCAATAAATCCACCTTTATACCTGCAAGATGTAAATTTTGTATGTGTCATTAAATCCCTTTGAAGCATTTTTATCGAAGATTTAAAAGGCATTTCTACTTCTCCAACCCAAGAAGCCTGCCTAGTTTATCATATAAATAAGTTGGATTAGGAAAAAAAGAATTTGTGTTGTGTTCAAGTTAATATTTGTGTGATCAATGTTTATTTCAATGAAAATTAAATTTTAAAAATTTTAAAAGTTAACTTTTATAAAAACATACATCTAATCGACTTGTAAAAAGATAAAAAGAAAATTTTAAAAATTTATAAAAAAAAATAAGTGTCATAGATAATATTCTCTTTTAAATTTTAAATTTTTATTAGTTGGATTAGGTTTCAAAAACTTATAAATATCCATATTTAATACTAAATATTAAATTGAAAAATTATTTGAGTTGACCAATAAAAATATAAAAAAATAAGAAAAAACTTTAAATTTTCTAAAAAAAAAAGAAAAATAGAATGGTACATAAAGAGAATGTCTTAAATCTCCTCTTTGATAGAAGTAGACGTAGAAAATTATATATGTGAAGGCTAAATTTTAAAAAATTTAATGATTATATATTAAATTTTATATTGATTTTAATTTTCTTTTTTAAACTTCATATTGTGTACATGTTATGCATGATCATAGTTCTAAAACTGTCAGTTTCAGTTTCAAAACCACCGGCTCCAATTAAAATTAGAAAGGTAGAACCAAATAATATTACCATATTTAATATATATATGATATACAATATAATTGCTTATTTTTCCAATAAAATTTAGATTTAAATAGAAAATTAATAAGACTAAACCTTTATGTTTTCAACCAATCAAATTAAAATTTATAATGATATTTTTGTCGATCTACAAAAATTTAGTAAAAATGTTTTAGACAATCCCTGCTCATTCTCACTTTTATAAATTACAAAAATATTCTTGGTGAGATGTTGTGTAGATTTATTTATTTTTAGTGGAATAAAGGAGCAACACAAAGACTATCTTAGAACGCTAATACCACAAGCATCAACCCAAAGAATTAAATCTAAAAACACCGAGCAAGAGTCCCAAATAAATAAAGAGGAAGGGATAGAATGACCCAATCTAGCGAAATGATCAGCTCCTGTGGAACGAATCTCTACTCTACGAGATGATCATATTTATAGGAGGCTCAAGCTAACGAATGAATTCTAGACTTGCTACTCATTGAATTTGCCAATTTTAGACTCTCACTAAGGTATGTGGTTATCACTTGCTCTTATGGTTAATGCTCAAAGGAGGATATTGTTGTTAGATCATTTGGCATTGAAATTGAATTTTTTTTTCTTTTTTTTTTTTTTTAAAAAGTATAGTTTGTTTTTTGGTTTATGGTTAGGATTGTCTTAATTTATACCTCGAGATTAAATTTTTTTTTTTTTTTCATCAATAATTTGAAAGAATGCACTTCTCCATCAAATGTTATTTTTCGAGCATTACTCAAACAACATTGAATTTTGATCGATGAAAAAAATTCTTAATACTAATGAAAATTTTAACCATTAAATATTAAAAGAAAAATTCCAAATTTTCTTCATAGAAACTAAATATTAAAACAAAGTTGAAACTGGACACAATTATTATTAAAGAAAAGTACCAAGATACACTACTATTTTATTCTTCTTAATACTATTGTTACAAGCATCTTTATAACATATAAAATTCATGAACTTGCAGATTGGAACCAACAGGCACACCTCCCCACTATAGACCCAACCCAAAAACATCTCCATGTTGAGTCTACCAATGCATGTCTGCCATGTGGTGAGTTCCCATTGGTCCAATCCAAGTAGGACCCATTAATCTAACATAACTCTCTTAAATCTCTTATTTAACCCAATAAAAAAAAAAAGCTAATTAAAGAAAGATAGAAAATTCAAGAAACATTCAAGTTGGCATACAGCCAGAAACAAACAGCCTCTACACAGCACAAGTACCCATTACTCAGCTTTCGCTTCACCTTCTTCCTTAGGAGCTTCAACGGCAGCTTCCGGTGCCGGTTCTGGCGCCGGAGTTGTTGTCTCAGTACTCTCAGTGGTCTCTTTAGTAGTCTCCTCAGCAACAGTCTCCTCAGTTACTGTTTCTTTTGGGGATTCCTTTTCTTCTTTTTCTGGTTCTGTTTCCTTAGGAGTTTCTTCTTTTTCTGGTTCTGTTTCCTTAGGAGTTTCTTCTTCAGTTTTCTCCGATGGGGGCTCTTCTGTTACAGTTTTGGTCTCATCTTCTACTACTTCTTTAGTTTCCACCACTACTTCAGTTGCAACTTCTGGTTCTGGTTCTACAGCTTCTTCTTTAGTTCCTGCAACTTCTTCTTGTTCTTCCTTCTTTTCTCCTGTGTCTGGTTTTTCATCAGTAACTGACTGATCTGTTACTTGAGTGACAGTCTCTGAAGCCTTCACTTCTTCTGCTTTTTCCTCTGAAAGTGCAGTTTGTGCCGATACTACCTGAAAAAGTTTCTCACAGTTAATATGTATGAAAAAAGATTTATTTTGATTAAAAATTAATAAATCTTGAATTAAATCTGCTAAATTTAAGTAGATTCATAACCAAAAAAGACTTATTTTTCAATTGTTAATTAGAGGAGTCAAAGAAATGTGTACGATCCAAGATCGAATATCGCAAAATCGATTTGTAAAAGTTACAGCTTTGGTCGCTAGAAAATCATCCATATGACATTAGTTAAAAAAACTGAAAATTTTTACTGTGATATATAAATCTTGCTAGTTGTTGATCTACTAAATCCAATAAATTCATGTACAAAAATGGCTGACAATAAGTTCTTTTCCAAATTTGATCATATATATATATATATATAGTGAAAGAACAAATCAAGTGAAAGAAAAAGTAATTTTTGGTGATTAAATCAAGAACCACCATGGAAATTAGACTGATGAACAGGAAATCAAAGAATTGCTATTACCTCAACAGTAGCCATTTGAATCCAAGGAGAAAAGTACCTAATAAGAACCAAAAAATAAAATTGAGAAGCAAACAATAAGAAAGAACTAAGAAAGTAGCAAACCAAGAGAGAGAGAGAGAGAGAGAGAGAGCCATTTGAATCCAAGGAGAAAAGTACCTAATAAGAACCAAAAAATAAAATTGAGAAGCAAACAATAAGAAAGAACTAAGAAAGTAGCAAACCAAGAGAGAGAGAGAGAGAGAGAGAGAAATAGGCTTTGAGTGATTGGTGAAGAGAAGAGTGAGTGTGAGTGGCTTTATATAGAGATGTGTAGCCATGGAGGGGCCATAAAATTTTATGGGAAAGAAAAAGAGAGAGGAATCTTGGGATTTGACACCTCACTCACTCAATTAAACATATCAAATGGAAAAGTAATTGATATTAATGTTAAATCAAGTAATTGTAGTAAGTTTTTTCTTTTTCTCGTGGCAGCAGTGGATCTGAAATGGTATTTAAGTAAAATTTTTAAAATTTTTAAATTTATATATAAAATTCGTCTGAAAATATAATTTATTTTTATTGATTTCACGCCTCAATCGGTCGAAAGTCTTTTTTTTTTTTTTAAATAATAATAATAATAATAATAATTTGTCCAACTTGTTTGTAGACTTTTGATTGGGGAAGGAAAAAGTATGTGAATAATGGAGGACATTTTCAGCTAAGCCATCATCTTTGTTTTGGTTTTGTGTGCTTATGTGTTTTGTGCAGTCGGTCATTTGGGTGACCTTTAATTTGATTAGTATCTATTACATTCCCATTATTTTATTTTCATCTATTAGTTAATTTTCTTTAATGGTGACACCATTTATTCAAATTCACTATAATTACGATTATGATGTACATCACATAAACTATTATTATGACAAAAAATTAAATTTTTGTTTAAGGTTGAAAGACATAATTATATATAATAATTTTCAGATAAATTATTATGTTTATTACGCATGAAAAAGCATAATTATCATTCATATCAATTTAATAAGTATTAGTAGATTTAATGCCAATAACAAGTTATGAATATTCCTCTTTAAAAAAAAAGTTACGAATATTTCTCTTTCAAAAATTTAATTATTTCAAAATGAATATTCACTCTTTCTATCCCAAAATATAAATCATTAAAAGTTTTTGCACAAATTAAAAAAATATAATTAACATAAATTATAATAAAATTAAAAATAATTTAATCAAATTATCATTTATCTCAAATTATTATATTGTATCTAATATAAATAAGGTTAAAATTGAAAAAAGAATTATTAATTCTGAAAGTAATCAAAATGATTTATATTTTAATATAAATTTATCATCCTAAAATGAATAATATTTTAGGATGGATGGAGTATATGAGAAGAAAAAATTGTAATGAATTTTTTTTAAAGGAAAGATTTTAAGTAATAAAGATAATTGTACATTTGATGGGATATTTTTAACTTTAGCCATTATATTTCTTAGACAATTGTATTGGGATCACGATTTGTGCTTAATAATTCTAAAGTGAACTATTTGCTAAAAATTGAAATCAAAATGGACATTTTACCGTCAAAGAAAGTAGAAGACAAATGCAAATTAGTCCCTGAAATAGACGAAGCATCCCATGTTAGGCAGGCATGGAAAAGAACGTCATAAGAAGATATTTTATAATAAAAATTATGTACCTTATACAACAACAACTCTATATACTTTTAAATTTAAAATTATATTAGTTTGAGTCAAATTTTTCAAAAATACTCTAACTCGAGCATAAAAATTTCTGACTAAAAAGAGATTTAAATGTATTTATTTTGACATAATTTTAACTCTGATAACTAATGCGAAAGAACTATTTACACCTGTATATAGATCTATTCATATACTAATTAATCAAAAATAATTTTTTTAAGTAAAAATATTTTCAACCATTCACTAAGAGAAAAAATACATGTAATACAAATTTTTGAAAAAAATCTTTATATTGGTAAATGCATACGCATATATAACATCAAACTTATGGAAACTCTGTCCAATAAGAATCTAACTGTTACGTGAAAATAATAGTATTCGGATTAGGACAGATTTCGAATTTCAGAGATTTCAGTATTATTGAAGTTTTAGAATTCAAGACTTAGGATTTATTGATAAAAAAAAATTGTTAAACCTTCACTTGATGTCCTTGGTCTTGACAAGATACGTATTTATATTTTTTTTCCTTTTAATTTTTTAATTATTATTCATTTCTGATGTAGTTTTCTTGGATGATTTTCTATTCAAGAGGTTTCTCTTTTTTTTTTTTTTTTTTTTTTTTTTTTTGTTTCTCCTTTTATTTTTTTTTTTTTTTTTTTTTCCATTACTCAGTACTGTGATGGTTTGGAAGTTTGAAACAGATTTTAAGTCCACTATAAGCCTTAATTTTATTTTTCTTTCCAAGAAACTACTTTTCATGTTATTATTACAATTAAAACAAGAAGTTTTTTTTTTTTTTTTTTTTTTTTTTTCATACTCAGTACTTGATGTTGGAAGTTGAAACAGATTTTAAGTCACTATAAGCTTAATTTTATTTTCTTTCCAAAAACTACTTTCATGTTTATTACAATTAAATACAAGAAGAAAAATATACGTACAAATTATTAAATATGGATCCAAATTCCAATATACTCAATTTTATGGTAATTACAATACCAACAAAAGATACATTCGGCAAATTATAACATTTTGGATTAAATTTGCTAATTTAAATAATCGTATTACAATTTATTTCGTCTCCCCTTTTATAAATTATGTAATTTATTTCATTTATTTATGTGAGTTTTGTAGGTCTCGAAGCAATAAATTATTATCTTCAATAATCTATAAATTACGTTATTTTTATTAATTAAATGAGACAAATTTTATAAATCTTTAAACAAAACATATTAAAAAGAGGTTTTTTACAATTCAAAGTGTCAATAAAAATTGAAATTTTATGTTAAAGATCATTATTTATTTTAGCAAGACAAATTTTTATATGAAAAATCAACAAAAGAAAGCAAAATTAGAGAATAAACTCACAATATTTATTATGAAGATACTTCAATTGATATCTTTAAAATATCACGAAAAAATTGAATATAAATAATTTTAATCACAATTAAATATTAACAGGTATAAATAATATATAAATCACATTAAAAATAATTTAAGAAATATTTTTTTTAATTTCAAAATGTCATTATGCTTTAAAATTTTTAATAAAAAATTTTATATAGAAAAATAATATTATGAGTATAAACAGTGATTACAAACTGTGTTTTCGAGAAAATTAGTAAAAAAGAGATTAAGCTTAATATATAAACCAATCACAGTAAAGATTTTTAAAAAATATTTTAATTTTATTTTTTTTTCATTGTATGGTAAAAATATTCTTCAATAAAAAATTTTATTTTTATTGGTCCATGAGTGGACCCATCAAACCGAAATTTTTCCCACCACCAATAGGTGTGATTTGCTTGGAAGAAGCGGATAAAATTCAGACGTGGCACTTTATAGTGGTCCACCCTGTCCTGCCGCCTCCCTCTTAAGGAGTGACCCACCTTACTCCTTAGTCCTTAGAGAGGAACGCTTTTGTGGAGCCCATAAGAATATACGGGCAGACATATGTTACCATTACTGAATGAGGACCCATTTTGCTGAGCTGGCTGTTGCCTCATAGCTTTCATCTTTCCCTTCACATTCATCAATCATCGCTTCTTCTCGTTCTAGCAATGCTCAGAGGCTAGCAAACTTTTGGAAAAACTCAAAAACCGAATTTGTTTTCAAAATATTTATTTTTTTCTCAAAATATTTATTTTTTTAATAAAACTGAACCGTTTAACTGAATCAATGTCTGTGGAACTGAAGCAATTAATTTGATTCGATTTTTAAATTTATTTCAATTTAATTCGATTTTGAAAGCTATTTTCGATTTTTATGATTCAATTTAAAACCGAATCACCCATTTGCACACCCCTAACAATACTTCGGTGAATATTATATTTCATTTTATAAAATAAATTAAATGTTTTCTTTTTATTTGTAGTTATTTTTATAAAATTAATGAAGTCGAAATGTAATATAAATGCAAATCAATTACTAATTGATAGAAAAAAAATTTTAAGACATAATTAAAAGAATCAGCGATTGATTAAATTTCTAACAGGTATCAATTATTGATTAAAAAACTCATCAAATGGGATACCAATCAGTTATCAGCTACGTAAATTAGATCAACCAAATGTCCTTTTAAACAGCCCCCGTTGGATAATAGATGAAGAGAAGTATATTTATGTAGCCAGCGAGCAATTAGGAGGCAAGGAGAAAAGAAAATTACGGGACAACTCGACATTAACACCTGAAAGGCAATCATTCAATTGTGGATCCCCACACCTCCATCTCATCTCATGTGTCTAATTAATTGAAAACTTCGTACGGTAGCGGGCAACCCTTTTGTTTTGTACCTCGAGTCTCGAGATGCGCTTACGCTAGTAGTTCATCAGCATCTCTTTCGTTGTTGGAGAAATTTTATAGCTACTAGCTAATAAAATTTTAAAAAAAATTTGAAGTTTTGATAATTTTTTTATTAAGTTATAAAATAATTTATTAGATGATTAATCAAATTCAATAATTAATTTGTAAATATTACTACTTTCTATTCGCTTAAAATGTATATTCTTACCAATTTAGTATTTTATGAAAATTTTATTCTCATTAAATATATCATAAATCGGTATCATTTTATTTCAAAAATATTGGCTTATTTTTGCCCAGGATTCCTCAATTTAGGGGATAATATCTTTAAGGTCACTCATATTAAAATTGTAAAACTTCAGCCTTGGTGTTTGTAAAACAAAAATGACTCACGCAAGTTTCTGCCCAGAAATAATCAGAAACATGACATGACATTATTTTGAGTCCCACTTTTTCATACATGGCATTTGACATGGAAAACAAGATTTCCGACTCACCCCTCTCTGTCTCTCGATTACTCTCTTCCTCTTTCTTTTTTCATTTCTTTCTTTTCCTTCTCTCTTTCACCGTCGACTGCCCCATCACCACTGATTGACAACCACATCAACCCAGCCACTAATCATGCTATCTATTGTATTTTTCGGCACTGCTCTCTCTCTCTCTCTCTCTCTCTCTCTCTCTCTCTCTCATATGCATAAACGCTCAGCTTCTTTCAACAGCGTTGCCACCTCGCTGTACTCGTTCCTCATTGCCAATTGATGGGTGCAAATGGGACTTCTCA